CCTCTCTCTCTCTCTCTCTCTCTATCTATCTATCTATCTTTCCTTCTCATCAGCAGGTTCCTTCTGATAGAAACTGACAAAAATGTGACAAAAATTAATTAAACCTGAAAACAAAACACAACAAAACAAAATTTAAAAAAAACCCGACGGAGTAATTACTCACCTATCGCCCGGATTTTCCAGGATGGACTCCAAGTCAGACACATTATCTGGGTCATCCGGGTACACCAGCGCCATCCGGCGTCGGCCTCCAGGGGAGAGAACCAGCTGCGGGTCCGACTTCCGGTCTCTCCTGGCATTGTGGAGTTCCCGGAACTTGGTCAGCTCGTGCTGGTACCTGGGAACAAGACACGACAGCAGACGTTTTCTGAGTGAGACAAGGGGGGCAACGTTCCCGAACGAACAGGTCGGTCAGTCACCCTGGTCTGGGTGTTTGTATAACGATTTGGTGGAATCAGGCGCTCGTCAGTACCTCATATTTGGGGCATATGGAGTGTATTTAGTGTATTATCTGTTCTTCTTCTTCTTTCTTAAGGCTTTTTCGTTAACTGTCAAACTTTTGATGAAAACAAGGGGAAAAAATATTTAAAAGTACAAATTTGAGACATCTTAAATTACTGACACTGTTCTGTGTTTCGGGAACTTTTTGTACAAATAAGCTGAACGACCACAGCGGTAAATTTCTAATATTGAGTGATCTCAATATAGGCGTCTGTGGTGTGGCGGTCAGGCGCTTTGCTGTGACACACAGTAAACCCGAGTTCTATTCTTGAGTAGGGAGAATTGTTATCAAGTATCTTTGTCTTTCTGCTAGAATGATGTATCTTTCTCATCCCTGGTTGACCCAGACAGAAAGTTGATTGATTGGTTGAGTAAGAGTTTTACAGCCCTATCGACACAGCGTTGACTGGAACGGTCGAATCTAGCCCCCTATATGTGTCAATGGGGGCGTTAAATATACGTGTTCTTTAAAAAAAAGTCCGCTCCTACCTCACATTCTCTACGGCACCCATGGAGCTAGGCCGTGGCCGACGCCGAAAGTTACTCCGCCGAGCACTGTAAGGCGATCCAGAAGCATTCCCTTCGACAGTCGCTGGATCATGTTGTTGTTGTTGCTGCTGCTGCTGCTGCTGCTGCTGGAGGTGGTGATGATGCTGAAGGTAATGAAGACTGCCGCTGCTGCCGGCGGCCACAGAGTGCCGCTGATGGTAGAGGTGGTGGTGGTGGGAAGGCTGGTGGGTGTGCTGTTGGTAGAAAGGCGTGGAGTAGGCAGGGCTTGCGTCCGGGCTGTAGAAGGCGTTAGGCATTGGAGCTCCGCCCATAATGTCTGATTGGGAGCTGGAGCGGTGGTGGGAGAATGGGGAGGGGCGACGAGGCAGCTGGGGTGGAGAGGAGGTGGGGCTATTTGTGCTTGACATGGACAGTGATCGGAAGTATGTATACATGGCGGGACCGGACATGGCTCTGAAAAATAGAAGTTATCAAACTCAGTATTACTAATTGTAAAAATAAACGAAGTTATCAAAGTCAGGAATTTATCATTGTGAAGAAATAAAGATTATTTAATAACCGTGAGGTGAATGAAACTAGAATCTAGAAGTTATTAAATTCAGACATTGATAGTTGTGATACGACCACAATGATGATGATACTGGTAGTCATCATCAATCTTATCTTCATCATTATCATCGTCCTCATCGTCATTGCGGACGTCATCGTCATCATCATCATCATCATCATCATCATCATCATCATCATCATCATCATCATCATCACCGTCACCACTATCATCATCATCATCATAATCACCATTGTTGCTATTAATACATTAAATTATGTATTAATGTATTATCTGGCATATTCACTTAAACAAATATCAGGGGTAGATATATAAAAAGGAACCGAAACTGTTCAGGGTGATCACGCACTTTCGAAAAGAAATTTCCCTTTGACTGGTGGCCCTTTTAGACAGTGTCAATATAATAAAGAAAATACACAATGAGGTAGTGGAAGTGAGAAGTGGTCATTTGTAAAAGTGATTGCCTAGAACAAAGTTTCATTAAAACAGGGTTTTTTTTTATTTTTGTTTTTTTGTTTTTGTTTTTGTTTTTGGTAAGGGTTTTACAGCGCTCGCAACTGCATAAGGTCAAATGAGCGTGCAAGACATATTGAACATTTTCAGTTGGTAGGAAATTTAGAATTTTGCCTGAGTGGCAGCCGAAACCTACTTATTATCAATTACGGACCACCAAGAGATCGTTAACGTGCGCAACTCGCACACGGGATCTCCGAGATTTTTTGCCCTTGTCGGAGAAGGCTAGGTGTAGATTTTTCCTACCATAAGAACAGGGTTGTGGCTTAAAGACAGCAGTAAGAAGAAGCCAAGGAGTAGCTGTAGAAAGGATACAGATACAGTCAGGAACCTAGAGGAGGGGGCAAACGAGGTGAGAGGGTTGGGGGCAGAATGTGGAGACGAAAGCAGACGACAAAACATTGCTAGAGAGCACGAAAGGAGGTGAAATGAGACACTTTTAGAGAAGAAAAATTTCCATCGCTATCTAGATTCGAGCCAGAGACCTATTGAATGAGAGGAGAACACCTTAACCTCTATGCCACGAGAGCCTCCAAAACAGGTTCGACTGTAGATAGATAGATAGATAGATAGATAGATAGATAGATAGACAGATAGATAGATAGATAGATAGAGTGGGGAGAGAGAGAAAGAAAAAGAGACAGACAGACAGACAGACAGACAGACAGACAGACAGACAGACAGACAGACAGACAGACAGAGCCTGAAATCTACCACCGTGCCAGCGGCTAGTGAGCCCAGTTCGCACCTGTCCACAGAGATAAGTTCATTAGCGTCTCTTTTCTCCACTCAGCTCACTGCGCGATATCGACCAGCCAGTGAAGTTGGTTTTTTGACAATGCCCCGACCACCACTCACTGTCTCCTGTTTGTTTTGTTTTGTTTTATTCTATTTCCTTTTTTTCTGACCAGACACAATCCATCTCCAATTTCCTGTGTCCCTGCTGGTGGCTATTTGTTTGATTTTAACAGTACAAAAAATCTGTCTGAGTAAAAACGTGTATTAGTTCTATACCCTGGGCCTGTGATGGATTGTCCTTCTTTGACTTTGACAAGGATTGTTCTTAAGCTTGTTTTCAAATCTGCAGTTTGAAGAAGCTCATTCACGCTGTCTTTATTACATCCTATTGTGCATTTTAGTTTTGCGAATCTCTTTGTTCTGAACGATTAACCATTATTGTATGCAAAAATTTAGATCTGCTTTTATCGTCGTGTACCTCCTGACAGGTAACGCTTACTTATTAAAACCCACAAAAAGTCTTTTAACTTAACTGTTCAGTTCTTTCGAATACACCTGTTCCGTTTCTCTGACCATGCCTGCCTCATATCCCTCACAGCATAATTATCTCAGCATTGCAGATGGACCTGTTTCAAATCCCCAATGGAACATTCCTTAATTAACTTATCTTGGTCTTTTTGGAGATTTGCATTGAATATGCAGGTCCAGCAAAATATTACATAGCCTTACGACTCACAGTGATGACAGAGGCGTGAAAACCCTCACTGCACCGTTATCCATATGGTGTGTCCCGGTTAATGTTCCCATACTCTTTCAGAAGGGCGAACAGAACACGGAATAGTTTACTAATAGAGCGGTTCAATTTTTTCTAAAATCGGAAGTGTTATTACGCCCCCCCC